TAAATACAGCGCGAGACCACAACAACAGAAAGTACCACCACTGGTACCACAACAACAGAAGGCACCACCACTTCAGAAAGTACAACAACAGAGACCACAAAAACAGAAAGCACTACAACAGAAAGTACCACCCCTGGCGTTACAACTTCAGAAAGTACAACAATGGAAACCACAACTACAGAGAGCACCACAACAGATACTACAACAACAGAAAGAACCACTACAGGTACCACAACACCAGAAAGCACAACAACCGAGACCACAACAATAGAAAGTACCATTACAGGCACCACAACAGACACCATAACAACAGAAAGCACCACCACTGGTTCTACAACTGCAGAAAGCACAACAGAGTTAGAAAGTACAACCACTGGCACCACTACTCCAGAAAGTACAACAACGGAGACCACAACAATAGAAAGTACCACCCCCGGGACAACAACGGAGACCACAACGATAGAAAGTACCACTACTGGCACCGCAACAGAGATCACAACAACAGAAGGCACCACCACTTCAGAAAGTACTACCACACAGACCACAACATCAGAAATACCCACCACTGGAACCACAATACCAGAAAGCACAACTGAGACCACAACAACAGAAGGTAGGACAACAACAGAAAGTATCACCATCAGTACCACAGCTCCAGAAAGTACAAGAGTGGAAACCACAACAACAGACATTACAACATCAGAAAGTACCACCGGTACCACAGCTCTAGAAATTACAACAACAGAAAGCACCACAATGGATACTAAAACAACAGAAAGCACCACCATCGGTACCACAACTATAGAAAGTACAACAGCAGACACTACAACAACAGAAAGTACAACAACAGAAACCACCACAACAGATACTACAACTACAGAAAGCACAACTGAATCCACAACAACAGAAAGTACATCAACAACAGAAACCACTACCATTGGCACCACAACTCCAGAAAGTACAACAGTGGAAACCACAACAACAGACACTACAACATCAGAAAGTACCACCACCGTTACCACAGCTCCAGAAAGTACAACAACAGAAGGCACCATAACTGAAACATCAACAGAAAGCACTACAATGACAGAAATTACAACCACTGGTACCACAACTCCAGAAAGTACAACAGCAGACACTACAACAACAGAAAGCACAACTGAAACCACAACATCAGAAAGTACAACAATAACAGAAAGTACAACAAAAGAGACCACAACAGCAGAAAGCACCACAACAACCGACAGCACCACAATGGACACTACAACAACAGAAAGAACCACGACTCCAGAAAGCACCACAATGGAGACCACCACAAAAGAAAGTACAACCACTGGCTTTCTGAGAACTCCAGAAAGTACTACCACGGAGACCACAACAACAGAAAGCACCACAACGGACATTACGACAACAGAAAGTACCACCTCCGGTACCACGACTCTAAAAAGTACAACAGCAGAGACAACAATAACAACAGACAGCACCACAATTGATACTACTACAACGGAAAGCAGCACCACCGGTACCAGAACTTTAGAAAGTACAACAGCAGAAACTTCAACAACAACTGAAAGCATCACAACTGAGAAAACAACAGAAGGTACAACCTCCGGAACCACAACACCAGAAAGTACAACAGCAGAGACAACAATAATAACAGACAGCACCACTACTGAGACAACAACTGAAAGTACAACCTCCGGTACCACAACACCAGAAAGTACAACAGCAGACACTACATCAACAGAAAGTACAACAACCGAAACCACCACAACAGAAAGCACCACAACAGATACCATAACTACAGAAAGCACAACTGAATCCACAACAACAGAAAGTACATCAACAACAGAAACCACTACCATTGGTACCACAACTCCAGAAAGTACAACAGTGGAAACCACAACAACAGACACTACGACATCAGAAAGTACCACCACCGTTACCATAACTCCAGAAAGTACAACAGCAGACACTACAACAACAGAAAGCACCACAACAGATACTACAACTACAGAAAGCACAACAGAGACCACAACACTAGAAAGCACCACAACAATAGACAGCACCACAATGGACACTACAACAACAGACAGCACAATGACTCAAGAAAGCACCACAACAGAAATTACAACCACTGGCACCACAACTCCAGAAAGTACTACCACAGAGACCACAACAACAGAAAGCATCACAACGGACATTACGACAACAGAAAGTACCACCTCCGGTACCACCACTCTAGAAAGAACAACAGCAGAGACCACAATAACAACAGACAGCACCACAACGGATACTACAACAACAGAAAGCACCACCACCGGTACCGCAACTTCAAAGCACTACAATAACAGAAAGTACAACCACCAGTACCACAACTCCAGAAAGTACAACAGTGGAAACCACAACAACAGACACTACAACAACAGAAAGTACCACCACCGTTACCACAGCTCCAGAAAGTACAACAACAGACACTACAACAACAGAAAGTGAAACCACTGGCACCACAACTCCAGAAAGTACTACTACAGAGACCACAACAACAGAAAGCACCACAACAGACATTACGAAAACAGAAAGTACCACCTCCGGTACCACCACTCTAGAAAGTACAACAGCAGAGACCACAATAACAACAGACAGCACCACCACTGGTACCACAACTTCAGAAAGTTCAACAGCAGAAACTTCAACAACAACTGAAAGCATCACAACCGATACTACAACTACAGAAAGCACAACTGAATCCACAACAACAGAAAGTACAACAATAACAGAAAGTACCACGATGGGTAGTACAACAACAGAAAGCACTACCATCGTTACCACAACTCCAGAAAGTACAACAGTGGAGATCACAACAACAGATGCAACAACATCAGAAAGTACCACCACCATTACCACAACTCCAGAAAGTACAACAACAGTAAGTACCACAACTGGTAGCACAACCCAAGAAAGTACAACAACAGAGACCACGACAACAGACAGCACCACGATGGGCACTACAACAACAGAAAGCACCACCACTGGTACCACAACTTCAGAAAGTACAACAGCAGACACTACACCAACAGAAAGCACAACAACTGAAGTAACAACAACGGAAAGCACTACAAAAACAGAAAGTACAACCACCAGTACCACAACTCCAGAAAGGACAACAAGGGAGACGGCAACATCAGAAAGCACCACAACTGAAGGAACAACAGACAGCACCACCACCGGTACCACATAGCAGAAAGCACCACAACTCAGAGAACTACAGAAATTAACACTAGCCAATATTAGTTTTAATGTCTTCTTAAAATGAATTCTATACATAGTGGCTCCAGAGAAATTTAAAATAAGATCCATATCTAATAAAATGTAGTGGAAGAATAAACTCTCTGGCCAGGTCATCGTGAGATTCTAATTAATAACACTGAGGTGCTTTATATAAAAACAGTGCACTCTGAAAGACAATTATTTTATTTAAAAAATGTACTAATGAAAATGGTAACAATCCCAGAGTGCTTTTTTCAATTATCTTTTATTTTAAATAATTAATCTTACAATTTATTAAATCACCCTTCTGTAACAATGTGTGAAGATTTTGCTATTTAATAATAATAATAATAAAAATAAATTAAGTCTTCTGTACATAATACTAATAAAATTTCAATAGAAGATCAAGAATATATATCTACAGCATGAAAATGTAAGTGTTCATTGAGAGCTAATAAAAAATAATCTTTTGCAAACTATTTCTCAGTGATATTCCTAACTTGACCCTACACCTAAAGTATGTTGTTTAAATGGGAGGAAGTTTCTCCAATGCTTTAAAATGTACAGTTGTGAAGCTGAAACTTAAGGGGAAAAAACTGCATTGTTTTCTCTGTAATATTCTCAGACCAACTTCTAACATATAATTTTTAAATAGGTAAAGTAATTTAAGGTAGTAAATACAGTAGTTTGCGATGAAATACCAATATGAGCAATGCATCAGTCTTAATCCTCTTAGACCTAAATGCATCATTTGACACTTGATTATTTAATTTTGCTTAACGGACTAGAAATTGGTCTCTCCGGTAATATTCTAAATTGGTTCAATATTGGGAGAAAGGTAATAATTTATTAAAATAGGTGACTATGTATCAATGAAATTTTAAGTACTATATGCTGTTCTTGAAAGATAGAAGATAGAAGTAAAGAACTTAGGTGTAATTATGGACTATGACTTTAGCTTAAATCTCGCATTCATCAAGCGACAAACATTTTATTTATTATTTTTGCTCGTCTTGATTACTTTAATGCTATGTACACTCTCTTATACCTAAGCTACAATTGATACAAAATTCAGCTGTCAAAGTACAAATTAAATTAAGAAGGAGAGACCATATTAATGGTTTTAATACAATTACATTGGTTGCCAGTTCAGCAAAGAATTGATTTTTATGTTAATGTGTTCCAAATCAAAATTTCAGATCTTCTACTGCTGGTCATTTGGCAAACTATACAATAAATCCTAAGTTACTCTGTGGTTATCCTTTTAGCCACTAAACCCCCAAAATTTGGAACTGTCAACCAATTTAAATTAGAAAGGCTTCATTCTTTCATTAAAAAAAAAAAAAAAGACAAGTCTTTTTAAAATATTAATTTAGCATTCTGATATCAGTTTTAATTATTGTGTGAAGTTGCAGTGTCAATGTGGCAAATTTTTATTTTTTTGTTTGTAGTTTTTAAATTGTTGTTAAGCACTATGAGCTGCATTTTATGTATTAAAAGTGCTAAACAAAGTTTGGTAAATGTTTTACTATTATTTAATAACAGAAAGCATCACGACTCCAGAAAGCACCACAATGGAGACCACCACAAAAAACAGTACAACCACTGGCACCACAACTCCAGAAAGTACTACCACAGAGACCACAACACTGGCATCACAACTCCAGAAAGTACTACCACAGAGACCACAACAACAGGAAGCACCACAACGGACATTACGACAACAGAAAGTACCACCACTCTAAAAAGTACAACAGAAGAGACAACCTTAACAACAGACAGCACCACAATCGATACTACAACAAGAGAAAGCACCACGACTCCAGAAAGCACCACAATGGAGACCACCACAACAGATAGTGCAACCACTGGCACCACAACTCCAGAAAGTACTACCACAGAGACCACAACAACAGACAGCACCACAATCGATATTACAACAACAGAAAGCACCACCACCGGTACCACAACTTTAGAAAGTACAACAGCAGAAAACAACAATAACAGAAAGCACCACGATGGGTAGTACAACAACAGAAAGCACTACCATCGGTACCACAACTCCAGAAAGTACAACAGTGGAAATCACAACAACAGACGCTACAACATCAGAAAGTACCACCACCATTACCACAACTCCAGAAAGTACAACAGCAGAGACCACAATAACAACAGACAGCACCACAATGGATACTACAACTACAGAGAGCACCACAACTTCAGAAAGTTCAACAGCAGAAACTTTAACAACAACT